TGGCCGCGGCCAAGGCGCCAGCCGAGTTTCGGAATTTAGCTGGCACAATCGTCGAAGAAGGCAAGACGACCGGAGGCTTCCGACTGGGGAAGTGGTCGGCGCCGGAATCTGACGCGATGACCGTGATTGTCGAGTACCACGAGTACGAGAGCATACTCAGACGCGACGACCTGGAGCCGGACGAGATCGAAGAATTCAAACAACCGATCCGCAATCTCGCCTGGCTGCTGCAAAACACGACCTTCACCTGCAGCTCGACCAACTCTCTCGACCAGCCAAAGATCTACGCCCTCGAATGCCTCGGCTTTATCGACCAACCAACCGAAGAGCGCAGCGTCTTCCTCTACAAACTGCCCCCCTCTGAACCCACCACAGAGGCAGCCCTCACAACCCTCCATGCCTTCATCAACGCCGTCGACAGCCAAACTAAACGCCCACTGAGGAGACCCTCCCTCAACGACCGCTTCAGCATGGCGCACAGCCTCGCCCTGACTGTCTCCAACCTGCACGCCTCCGCCTGGCTTCACAAAAACATCTGGAGCAGAGGCATCCTCCTCTTCCTCGAGACACCCACCGGAACCAGCGCATCAGGTCTCTACGCACAACGCCTTTCTTCTCCTCCGAATGAAAAATCCAGAATCGTCTCCTACCTCAGCGACTGGGGCTACGCGCGCTCCGTACAGCAAGGCACAGACATGCGCTCCGACTTCGAGGTCGAGCCGAATCTCTACCGGCATCCGAGCCGGCAGGGCCGGCCGACGCAGCAGTTCCGTCGCGAGCATGATATCTATGCGCTGGGGGTGGTACTACTTGAGATCGGGCTGTGGGTGACGCTGTCGCGGCTGATGGAGGGGAAAATCCGGGAGGCGGAGACGAGCGGGCGGCTACCGAGGGAGAAGAAGGTGCAGGAAGATTTAATAGCGTTGGCGCAGCAGGGTTTGCCGAAGGAGATGGGGGTGGGATATACGAGGGCTGTGCTGGCTTGTCTGAGGGGAGAGTTTAGAGGGAGTGAAGGGCCGGCGTTGGCGGTGGATTTTCAGGAGAAGGTTGTGGATGTGCTTGCTGCGGGAATTGAGATGTAGATAGAGGTTGTAGTCTGGTTCTGTTATCAATCTATTCTAATTAAGACCTAGTACAGATGTGCTTTTAGAAAGCAACTCCGATAGCCATTGCGAAGAAAGCAGTAAAAAAGAAGCAAGGCAGATTGGTCACGGCAGCACCGGTAAACATTGCCGAAGCGCTGGCCGAACCGGATGATGCAGCAGCTGAGGAAGAGGAAGCAGACGAAGAGGACGAGCTAGCCACACCACTGCTGGAGGTCTGCGCAGAGGCCGAGTAAGTACTCGCCGCAGCAATCAATGCTCTAGAAGACGTAGTGGTGGAAGTAGAGGACGAAGAAGCGGACACACTGACCGAGTTCGAGCTATGGATACCACTGCCGGTAGTCGAGTTCGAGGCCACGATACTGGTATACGTGCCAGTCTTGTCGGTGTAGTTGTACGAGGCAGCAGGATTGTAGTTGATGATGTTGACCGACTTGACGTACATGGTGAAGGGGACATCGTCGTAATCCGTCTCGCCACCGGCCCACTCGATCGTTCCCTCGCCGTTAGAGGAATCGCCTCCGGCCCAGATGCCCAGTTTCACCACTATGGGTGTTTGAGGGTAGTTATTCCCGTCGACGGCATCAGCATACTCGAGAGTGCGCACAGAGGTCCCATCAATGTACCAGGTGATGGTGGCGGCGGTCCAGACGACTTTGTACGAGTGGAATTCGTCCTGGGGAGTGCTGACAGTCTCCCAGATGGCGCGGTCGTAAGTGGTCGTGTTGCCTTTGCCGAAGTAGTTGGTTTCGATCTGGGTGGTGTCGGTTCCAGTGCATTCCTGTCATAGTCAGTATCTCTCATATTATAGAGGAGCAGAACTCACCCAGTCAATCTCGTCCAGATCATCCGACTCCATGACGATGGAGCTAACGATACCGGTGCCATTGGCCGCTCTCATGACAACCTCGACTTCACCGAAGAAAATGTAAAAGTTTGTCTCGAGAGTAGGCGCGTCGTACCGCTTGTTGATGGTGAATTCGGCCCCGTTGCTGCCGTAGGTGACATTGCCCGATATGGCAGTCCATTTATCGGAGCTGCCCTGGGTGAAATCGGTGGACAGGCTCCATTGTTTCAGGCCTGTGTCGGGGTCACAAGTTGCTACTCTTGTTAGTCCAGTGAGGTGTGACTGTAAAGATCTGGCTTACTGTTGGTAGGATTGCAGCTGGTATAGGTCTGCGCGGCACCGAGGGAGACAAAGGCCAAAATGGCCAGCAATGGCAGTATCATGTTGACTGATGGCTACTGACAACAAATTGAAGATCAAACGACGGTATCAATTAAGAAAGAATTTAGTCAAGGAACGACTGGTTTATACTGGAAGGCCGCGGGAGCAGCCATTGATGTAGGGCAGTGACCAGCCACATGACGAATCCAGCGTTAACTCCGAGGTGGAACGGGCCATCGTTCGTCTGGCATGACACGCACTTTTGACCGGACATAAAATCTCAATTCTAAAGTGTTCTTCTCAGTAGTGCTCGGTAGAACCACAAAGGACAGCACTTTGAAAGGTTACTGGTTGAGACGCGTGGCATGGTGGAGATAGGTTCCATTAACGGGGCTGTGGGGTCCAATAAGCTTCATCGATTTTGAATGGGATTCGGGCTGCTTCCAGGCAGAAGTGTTGAACAATATATTGATACCTATACTCATTTAAACTTGAATATCACCAAGAAGTCACTATCTGGTACCCTATACAGAGTTGGGCTGGTTGGCACTTGCCCGATTGCGCCGTCGAGATCCGATAAATAATGTACCAATCACCCTTGCTTCAAGACCTATGAACTGCTTGAGTATGAACCTCGTTCTGACCCATAGCCATGATAGATACAGCGTCACAATGAAGATAATTGTCCGATAGAATAAGCACTTCATACGTCAACTTCCTAGATGGTTGTCCAACTCCAACTGTTAACCAGTGTGGGCTAATAGTATAAATCGGAAGCAACATAGCAAACATGTCGAACCAAGGTAAATCTAAGACAGCATATTCCTTAATCAAAATAGTTCTGTGAATCCTTTACCACGGTAATCTGGCTGGGCCAACTCTGTCAAGCAGAAATCTATATCTCTACCCACTCCACAAGTCACAGAGCCAAGCTTTCGGTATAGTTCTTATTAGGTCTGGGCACTAAAGTGGCCGAAATAATTGGCCATCACTCGTCCACCTGGCCCCACTTGCTCATTCTAAGCCATTGTGGAGCTACCTATTACACAAATCCAGACTTCGCGAATGATTGCGCGGCATCCCCTGTCGTTCACGGCAGGTGGATGCGTAGTCGGCCGCGTCACTGCCTCAATTTCCTCCCCAACCTATTGGATAACATGGCCGGGTAATTAAGAGTCCTCAATCTTGGTACACAGGGAAGCACGAAGAACCGAGATAACTAGGACTTATCCATGGCAGTGGTGTTTTGGGTCAATGGAGTGATCTCGTATGTACCCCGTCTGATATTAGTGGTAAGAATTGTAAACAGGATCGGAACAGAGTATCTTTACTCCATGATTTCTAACAATGTCCCATAGCTTGGCGATGGGATCAGACGCTCCACCAATGCTGCATGCCGATGATCCAGCAGAGACAGGCTCGGGAGCTAATATTCAGTTCATCTGTGACTGCTCTAGACTACTTTCCATGAAATGGCCCCGGTAGATCCTCGGCAAAGCTACAACAGGTACTGGAAACAGACTGCCACAGGGAACGTCTGTCTTCAGAGGTTGAGGACGTTGCAAACTTCGCTGATCACTTTCACGGTAAATGGTAGACGGTCTGTTATCCCGCGTTAGAGAAATCTGATTAACAGAACTACCAAAGGCTAAACAGGCATATTATGGGAGTGGTATTTTCTCGAAGTATTTACCGTCCTTGTATACCAGCTGACCACCAAGTCTATAGGGTGATGATTGTCCAACATCTGTAATTTTGACGCATTTTTCGCGACTGCTGGTAAAGCAAAGTTTAGTACTCGGCCTTGCACGCCCAATATCCCCCAATTTGTGTAATGATCCGCTTAACAAGGTGCGTGGGGTAGTGGGAGTGCTCATATCCTCTAGCCGCGGTCTCAAATCGTGGCCATATAACATCCAAGATATAGTGAAAGATTGCGTCTGATCGTTATAGAAAACTAGTGGGAGCAGTCGTCGCAGACCTTGTGGGTTATGGCAACAATGCATACATTTACGGCTGAGAGCTGCGGGCCCGAGAGCTGGTGCACTGAGCTGTGTATCGCGTACCTATAGCCCGTGGCAAGTCCACATTGTCAGCTTGCGGGGTAGAAGTCAATAACAATCTGGATCAGACGGAGTGTCTTCGAACACAATATCCGTGATTGCCAGTACGTCCATCGCTCCACAACCAAGAGCCGGAGCTGCATCTACCGTAATCGATGGAAAGGTCTATGTGTTTTCAGGCCGTGGTGGGCTTGCCATTGCTCCGATAGAAGAAGCAGGTCCATTCTGGGTTTTCGGCCCAGTTAGTAGTGCCTGGTTCCAAGTCAAGCCCACAGACTCTCAGCTTCCTTACCCAGTTGGGCGCAGCTATCATACTCTCACAAGAACGACAAAGACACGATCTTTCTGCACGCCGGATGCCCTGAATAAGGTCGACTTGGCGACCTATGGACGTTCAACATTTTCAGTCGCCAGTGGCGAGAATTGTCCCCAGCTCCCCGACCAGAAAGAGGCGGGACGTCCATTGCATACGCTGAGGGAAATATCTCCCGTATGAATGTCTTTGATGGCTAAAATGAACAAGGAGGGGCGTTGGACGTGTTTGACCTCAAGGATAATGAGTGGCGCACCATTACCTACCCAGCAGATGGAATCTCGGGGCCGAGTCCACGTAGTGTGAGCTGCCTCCTATCGCTCAACCTTTTCGACAAACCTTGTCTATTCACTATGTTTGGTGAGCACGATCCCAGTAGCCTGGGTCACCAGGGAGCGGGCAAAATGCTTGCAGATGTGTGGCTCTTCGATCTGGAGTCTCAGGAATGGACGAATATCCAATTGGATGCCGAGAATGCTCCTCCAGTGCGCGGGTGGTTCGATGCAGATGTGATCTCAAACAATTTGCGTCCCAGTATTGTCGTCCATGGCGGACTTGCCGAGTCAAATGAACGCCTAGGTGATATATGGCGGCTGGATTTTTAAATCGCGGCTTTCTATACTTGAAGCCAAACCGATATCAAGGAAGTTCTATTTTGGTTTAACTCTATGAAGAGCGGGTTTCCTATAAGAAGCTGGCGATGCCATCTGTTAGGGTATCTGGCTTGATGGTTTTAATGCATCGCTGAAGTAGTACCATACATGAAGCGCACTAAATACTAAATATGTATTATGGGCCGGCCAGTGCATGAACATCATAGCACTAATATCTAGTTATCCAATAACCTGAAGGTGACAAAGGACAAAGACCCATGACCATCTAACAGTTGCCATTAGAAAGAAGACTAACGGCCTGTTACAAGTCATTATCAGATAATAAAACAGCGTGGTCAATATAGCACAAGGAATAAATTATGACTAGAGCTCAAAATTATTGGGGTAAGACTTCACATGTCAGGATACTCGTCCATGTAGGCTATCAGAATGTGATAATCTTGTAATCGCCTTCGTAGCTCCCGTTAAAGGTGACCTTCAGGTGCTGACGGATCCACAATTCATTTCCATTTTTGAGGTACCACCGAAGCTCACCCTTAAATTTGTCTAGGTTCACCTTGAGAGAGAAACCGTCTTTTAAGCTGCCGTTAATGATTCCGACATATATGCCCCCGATTACGGGGGTACAAGTCATGTCATAGGTATCAAGATCAACAAATCCGTTGAACTAGAGACAAAAGTTGTTAGCAGCCGACTCTTTGGAAAATAAAATGCTGTTGGACGTTGACTTGCAGAAGTGGCACCAAAGGACCAGCTGAATTCCCTGGCTTGATCAGGGATAGAGAGCTCGGCCGCTGCCTCCGTCTGTTCGACAGTCCACTCATTATCGCCAGCCTCCGGGGACGTCAGGTCGACGTAAGCAGCTGTAGTCCACAATGGTTAGATTCCATGCATGTAGAAAATGAAACAACCGAAATGCTTGCATACCCTCAATGTTGAATGTCTCGCCCATTTTGCTGGTTGGAGCAGTCCCACGATGACAATTGAAGCAATGTTTGAAATAGCTTAGAAGTGTGAATGACAAGGGAAATTTGGGCCTGAGCAGCGAAGTCTTGTACAATTTATAGCCTGAGATCATCTTTCACCCCACCATGTCCATTTCAACTGCCAGAGATCACTTCCGAAGAGCAGGAACTATTCGAAAGTGGATAATACCGCAATCCTTACTGGCAACATCTTTGCAGATCGTTCCGCCAGCCACCTCCATGGCCCCACTATGAGATGATGGGATGTCATTGATGATAGCTATTTCGCCAATCGGTAGCAGCCAAGTCAGGCTTGCAGCTCAGCTGGTGGCGGAGAAGGATCTCAGCCCCGCACGTTCGAGTACACGATCGTCAGAACCCACGGCTATTGGCTCGATCGAAAGGCACATATCCCAGACTAGGCTACCGCCGAGGCACCTTGGTAGAAGGAGCAGGCGTTCGTAAGAACGGTGGTCTAGAGGGCGTGAGCTTCGCGTTGTCCAACTGGTTAAAATCGCCTCCTACCCTGAAAACTAAAGGAAGGATAATCAAAGGGGCACCTTGACGAGATTGCATAGGAAGCTTACTAGCTCCTTCTACGGACTGAAGGCCCGGAACGCCAATGTAGATCTGGAAACATTGGGATTCCATGTTGCCCTTGGTTTCGTAATGGCTGGAACGTCGCAAGAAGCCAGAAGAAAGTCACATATAGCGAGCAGGAGGCGGCCAAATCCCATCTACCACCCCGTTTGCATCCTTTGACCAAGCTGCCGCTCTGTGAAGCATCTCCAGCTCAGATGTATGTCGATACGGCCGACGTCTTGCTTCTGCTGGAGAAAGATCTCGCTGCGTAAGGCGAGCAAACAACGTCGGCGCAATGTGTTTAATATGCACCTTGAGCGGTCTTGCCGTCTCACCTGGCTCCAAAAGCCAAACAAATGGTCTTGCTGCATCTCGAGATTGTATGGCCTCCTCATCCACATACAGAAAGGCATCCAATCGCAGGCCCTGGGGGAGCTCGCCTCCATCACGCATGGAGAGAAACCGAGATTGAAGAGCAGCAACATTATTATCACCATCATCAGATACATTACTAAAATGAAGAGTAAATTTCGCCATAATCTCCTCATTGATAACCTGCGGCCTAGAATGTAATCCATGATAAACAGCCGTGTCGATTTGCTCCTTGAATGACGGCCACTCGGGCATATTTCTCGGGAAGAAAATCAGAAGCCCACAGATTGCCATCTGGGTTTGAGATAGAACATGCTCCTGCCATGGGACACGTAAAGCAAACCGAATATTCCGGACATCATCGTCGCTCAGGGTTTTCGACGCCTCGCTCTGGATGTTTCCCCATCTTTTCATGATGTTACGGGCGCTCTCCTGCGCGCGTTTCATCTCCTCTGTGGTAGCTGCGGCCATGGCTCTCTGCAAGAGTTCGCGATCGGCGGCACTGAGCCGCGCCGCTTCATGTAAGAGTCTCTCGTTCTGGGCAGAGTCGACCCCAGCGGCTATTATTACAGATTCTTTGTAGGTTAAAGAGTCTCCGTTTTCGATGGCCTTTTTGACAAGTTCAGACAGGCTTTGTCCACAGCGCCCGCGACAGAGAGAATCCTCCTCTTCTGGCGGTGGGCGGCGGGTGATTATTCTTCGCTCTTCGTCTGTAAGGGAGGAGGGGTTGGTAATAGCTCGATTGTACAGAGTACGAGTGGCTTCATCGAAGGCGATAGGGGTCCTGTCAATGTTGAGTATGACGTCTCCGTCGAACAGTCGAATAGGTATGGACATGATTTTTTTTTTTTTTTTTTTTTTTTTTCATGCAGTGACTGTGTAGTGGGATGTTAAGGTCTTTTTGTTTGCAACACTTGCAGAACAGCAGAATAACCAAATTGACTCATTTTTATTATTGTTGTATTTGTGCCCCTCACGTAGTCATTCCTAGATTAATAACTAACTATATTGGGGATCTACTCTTAGCTAAGCTAAGATGGCTGCTTCCACTGAATTTAGCATATTATAGTTACCAGGTCCAGTCTACTATAAGTCTACTAGTCCATCCCTATAAAGTTAGAGGGATCATTCTATCCCAGCTTAATAGGTAGAGAGTCATTGGCCTAATACTAGGAGCAGAGAATGTTATATAATAAATTTATCTAAAGCCTAGTAATATCCGCTCTAAAGGCAAAATTGCTGTTCTCTGTCCAGGCTAATAACAGTCTAACATACTCGAGCTGTCGAGCAATCATGAACCCCGCTTGTCACGCATCTAGTCCTGTCCTAGTTCTCGCTAGTATACAGAACAGAGGACAGATATATGGTCCGTGCCTTCGCCCTGTCTCTCCACTCGCCGTGACTCATCAGTCAATCAGGACAATCTATTTTAGCAATAAATCATGCCTTCTTCCTGATTTTTATGTTTCCGTCCCTCCAGAACCTTAATTCATCATGGATCATCTCAAACATATCTTCGCCCAATGCCACCAGGAAGGCCGTCCAGCGCTGGTCACATACGTGACGGCCGGATTCCCCACGGCGGAGGAAACCCCGGACATCATGCTGGGCATGCAGGCCGGAGGAGCAGGTGAGTCATTTGATCTACAGCTTTGAACTGGTTCTGATAGAACTGTATAGATATTATTGAACTGGGTCTTCCTTTTACCGATCCCATTGCAGACGGTCCGACCATCCAAAAGTCGAATCTGAAGGCCCTCGAAAATGGGGTCACAGTCACCTCGATGTTGGAGATGGTTAGGACCGCGCGGAGAAAAGGGTTAACGGTACCGGTGCTGTTTATGGGTTACTATAATCCTATACTGCAGTATGGAGAGTCGAAGCTTTTGGCGGATTGCATCGAGGCCGGGGTCAATGGCTTCATTATTGTTGATCTGCCTCCGGAAGAAGCGGTTCGATTCCGCAATGGTTGCAGAAAAAACGGGTATGACCGCAACCAACCCTAACAATGGACGCGTACAGTAATTGATCCCTGAACAGTCTCACGTACGTCCCTTTGATCGCGCCCTCCACTACCGAAGACCGCATGAAGGTCCTCTGCAACATGGCCGATTCCTTCATTTATCTTGTCTCCCGCATGGGCGTCACCGGCGCCACCGGGACCCTCAATTCAGACCTTCCCGCCCTCATCCAGCGCGTCAAGGAGCTCTCCGGCAATGTCCCCGTGGCCGTCGGGTTTGGAATCAGCACGCGCGAGCATTTCCTGAGTGTGACCTCCATCGCTGACGGCGCTGTCATCGGCAGTCAGGTGATTACGATCCTCGATAGTGCCCCAGACGGACAGGCCGCCCGGGCAGTCGAGGACTATTGTTCCCAGATCACACAAAGAAAGGTTCCCAATGGGCCTCCCGCAGCAGTGGAGACAAATGCCGTCGCCCAGCCTGCTGCCGAGGGAGAGGCAGCTCCGGCGACCGACGGATCGGGGCGGTTCGGTGTCTTCGGCGGTCAATACGCCCCAGAGGCCCTGACCACCTGTCTGGCCGAACTCGAAGCCGGTTTTGAAGCCGCTCGGAATGATCCCACCTTCTGGGAGGAATACCGATCGTACTATCCATACATGGGCCGTCCCTCCAGCCTGCACCTGGCCCCGCGCCTGTCCGAACACGCAGGTGGCGCGAATATCTGGCTGAAGCGGGAGGACCTCAACCACACGGGCTCGCACAAAATCAACAACGCCCTGGGCCAGATTCTAGTTGCCCGTCGGCTGGGCAAGACGGAGATCATTGCCGAGACGGGCGCGGGCCAGCACGGGGTCGCAACCGCGACTGTCTGCGCCAAATTCGGCATGAAATGCACCATCTACATGGGTGCGGAGGACGTCCGTCGCCAGGCCTTGAACGTGTTCCGGATTCGCTTGTTGGGGGCCACGGTTATCCCAGTCGAGTCGGGGTCGCGCACGCTCCGGGATGCGGTGAATGAAGCCTTTCGTGCATGGATTACGCGCCTGGATACCACGCATTATATTATCGGGTCTGCCATCGGGCCCCATCCCTTTCCGACCATGGTTCGCACGTTCCAGAGCGTGATCGGTGAGGAGACCAAGGCCCAGATGCGAGACCTGGGCAAGAGCCCGGATGCGGTGGTTGCCTGTGTCGGAGGCGGCTCCAACGCTGTCGGCATGTTCTATCCGTTCTCTAAGGACGTCTCCGTCCAACTGGTTGGGGTGGAAGCCGCAGGCGACGGCTTGGACACGGAACGGCATTCAGCAACATTGTGTCGAGGCTCGGTCGGGGTTCTGCATGGCGTTCGGACCTATGTGCTGCAGAACCAGCATGGACAGATCTCCGACACTCACTCGGTCTCCGCGGGACTCGACTACCCCGGCGTTGGACCGGAACTAGCGCACTGGAAAGAGAGCAACCGGGCGACATTTCTTTCGGCCACCGATGCCCAGGCTCTGCAAGGCTTCCGACTGCTGAGCCAGCTGGAAGGCATCATTCCCGCGTTGGAGACCTCTCATGCGGTCTGGGGGGCAGTCGAGATAGCGAAGCAGCTGGGACCCGGAAAGGATCTCGTGTTGTGCTTGAGTGGCCGTGGGGATAAAGACGTGCAGAGCGTGATCGATGAGTTGCCCAAGTTAGGGCCTCAAATTGGATGGGACTTGCGGTTTTAGAGGTTAGAAGTATGCTGCGTAAGCTTTAGAATTAGTGGGATAGAAAATTTGATAGATTCAAAAGTATGGAAGTGTGTAGACAGCATCAGGAAAAGCAGACTAGTAACGACCATGCCTATCATAGAGTGCCCGGCACTCTGGCTAAACTAACAGTTACAGAAGGGTGACAGAACAACTCTTCATAGAACAATTAATAAATCGTGGCCTTGGGCAACCATAAGGAAGGCTGGGAGATTACCCAGCCACTAATCCGGTTTGGAAGATCACGTGATTCGCTCCGTCTGTTTCTTATGCCAAGAATCAATGGACAGCAACCAGAAGCAGTATGCCGTCGATAATAGCTGAGAACAGAAAGAAACCTCATCACTGCTATCCTGAAAGACCTCCCTGGCGAGCTATCAAGTCATGTCATGTCCTCATACACAGTACAACAAGAGTGAGCTTCGGTGGGTCTGGCATTGCACTGTATGCCATGCCATTATGCAATTTTACCTCTTCGGGACTAGCGGCATCTCCAGTCTCGACCCATCAGACAGACCGAGTGAGGTAATAATGATCTATGATGAAGATATCTTGACGATATGCAGCCCCCTTGGAATAACTGGTCAATGCCTCGTATTCTAGTTGAGCAATGTGATGTGTCGACTGGTCTCCTCGGAGACCAATTCTATGGCGTCAGAAAGCAACCTCAAGCAAGCACAAATGGATAAATGCGGAATGGTCGGATGTTGTCATAGTGAGACTTACATATCTGAAACAAGCAATCTCTGGTTAAGGAACAAGAAATCGGCCCTAATACGTACCCCAGAGTCCACTAGCTTTCTTGTTTCATGAGCTCTGGGCCCAGGCCCCGGATCTTCCCTCAGTCATCAGCCTCTGAGGTAAACGCAGGACAAACTTCCATTTTGAGAATCAAGCATCCCAGCAATTCACAGTCCTTGCCTCAAGAGTTCCCCCTCAATGGCTGCTATCTGATATCCCAACACAATGGGCTCCACTGATGATGTCGACTGACCTCATCTCCCGGATACTGAAGTAGTCACTCAAAGTGCATCAGAGTGGATACGTCAGGTCAATCAACGTTTCCCAACCGGAAATACCAACTGCATCAGCGAGAGACTGGCGGATACATCATGACGTGGTTAACAGCTCGCTCCGTCGAGCATAAATACCTGCGTTTTCCTCGCCCTGATCCGTTGGAAATCATCAGATCAGAACAATCAAATATCTATTGAACCATCTCTCAAATCAATTCACCACTTCAATCTACCATCAAAATGTCCTCTAACCAGAACCCCGGAAACTTCGCCAACCGCCCACACGAGGAGGTCGAGAACATTGCTCGCAAGGGAGGCCAGTCCAGCCACCAGGGTGGTTTTGCCAGCATGGACCCCAAGAAGCAGGCACGTCTTCACAACACTCTTTATACTTCGTCTATACTTCTACAATACTAACTAACCATCTACAGAGAGACATCGCTTCCAAGGGTGGCCAGGCCTCCAGCGGTAGCTTCCAGCCTGGTGAGGAGCGTGCCCGTGAGGCTGGTCGCAAGGGTGGCCGCGCCACTGGTGGAGCTGCCGATTACCCTGAGGAATAAATTAATCGATATGAGTGACGACCTTGAGTGATGATAATGACGGACTCTGGCAATGCCACATGTACTATAAATTAAGTGAAACAATGAGCTTTCAATGGATTCTGTTCAACAATTGTATAGTTGCGAGCGTTGTTGCGTTTCATCACAAGGTCTTTCAAGCCGTAGTCACATGATATGCTATTCCAATAAGGTATTCCGGTATATACAGAGATGTTCCAAGGCGCTGAATGGCAAAAATGCTATAACTAGGAACAAGAGGTACCCGCTCAATCAGTACACGGCAGTTCCTGGAAGTAAATCATGATTTACTACGAGGTACGTGGTATCTTCCTAGGCATACGCATGGGTTCTCAGGAGAATAGGAAAGCATAAATATGCAACAGCTAAAAAATCGTAAAAAGTGATACAACAAATAACCTTTTTGGTCTAGTGGTATTAGTTGTTAATACATCTTTGGACGAGGGGAAGTCTAAACAAAAAAAACTAAGGGGTGAGCCAATCCTCTCTGATGTCCCATGGTCCGAAGATTTAGCATGAGGACAAACAGTGGTGGAGGTTACAAAAGCCCCCCTGTCGAGCATTGCCAATCAACTGGGCCATAGATGGACCCCCAGGAAAGCGCCAGGCTTTTTGCAGTGAGGCAACTGCAAGATGCAGAAATGTCGATAGATTGCCAAATCCAACGGTCGCTCTGTTTACTGCGTTGCATCGAACCTTCCAGGTCCGGTCTGGAAGGTTCCGGTCATCCGGGCTTCTAGTCGTTGGCTCTTGTATCTTATACACATTATGCCCTGAAGCGAATGTAGTGAGAGAAAGGGATAGTAGTAAACACGCCTGTGCGGCGTGCCCGCAGGAAAGAACTTGCGTTTGGCTATGTAGGATGGTTTTTCTCCACTTGTTTCTTTAGGTCCAGCTTTCCATTTCAATTGGGTTCTACGGCTTTATATGCATGGTTTCTCTTTCGTGATTGTTCCGTTTCTTCCCTATTGCACTGATCTTACTATTACGCTCTATCAAATATCACCAACCGTAACACTACTCGCTTATGCTCTTCCTGCGTTAAAATTCGTTTCAACTATCAAATGCTCGTTCATGCAACGCCCATCTACTCTTTGTTCCTCTACATCAGGCAGACAGAAGTCTGCTGATTGCGAGAGGATCATTTCTCTTATCCGCTAGGGTCTTTACTTCTTGCAGAGGGTATTTTAATCATGAGCACAAGCTTCCGCTCTATTCCCGCCGGAAATTTCTCCATCTAATGTACGGTCATCTGTTGCCCGCTATGAGAGTTACTTGGCAGCAGCCATTCAGGAGACAGCTTTGTTGCTCCTGTGGCAGGGTTGTTCCTCCTGGTGACGTACGCCAGGCTTCCAGTGATGATCCCCTCCTTTGCAGGGATATGTCGATACCTGTGGATAGAGAGATGGCTTGTGGAGTATATGTTCCTCTTGCCATTCTGTCGATCGATTCCTAAATTCTCCTCTCCAACCAAAATCAACACGACCCTCTGTCAGCACTATCCTGCTATCCTCGGTGATCTAACTCTGCCTTGGAGTATCTTATTGCCCAATCCCACCTTATCAGAGTAGTGCTGAAACTCCGCACCCTAATTCCATATTATGTTGAGATAATTGAAAGCCATTCATTGTGCAAGTCACATGTCTTTTTCTTTCACAGGCCATGATGTACGGTGTCTGGACGATGTCCCTAAGATGCTGCGGTCCGAACTGAGAACGCAAGATACCCAGAGAATATAAGAGCTCTCAACCAACAAATCGAACCCAGGAGATCTCAAAGGTGGAAATAGCACAGTATCCTCCGGATACCTAACTACGTGCGGTGCAGAGCTCGAGCATCCGATAGCTACGCATCTCAGATTACTGTCTCGGTTTCCCACTCCCAGTCATACCAGTTTAGGACTCTGTGGTCTCTGTCAAGGCACCTTGGAGCAGTCTACCTTTCACTACAGACCTACTACAGTGATTCCCTTTCGCACCTACAAGACTCAAGAGCTTGGGTGACTTCAAAAGTATTGTATAGTTCATGAACTTTTCCCGTGGATTGCATAAGGTTCGGTGCGCGTGACGGCACCCGCTGCAAATCTGCTGGACCTAGAAGCGACAGAAATAGTCTAACTTGTTATGGCGCTTGGTTACACGGATCGTGAACCATAGTCGACAAGCACCTTGGTAATCCGGTTTATGCTCATGGCTCCTCATGCATTGGCTGGCGATAGGCGAGACTGAGTTCCACCACGGGTTCAACTTCTATGCCAGTGGTTCGGATAAGCTGGCCGTGCTACAGGCCAATGCTGCAACATCTATCTGATTGAACTAGGTAATAAAACTGACTGGACACAAGGTGCCACCGCGCCGTGAACTAGACGTTGGATGGCTATATCAAGGGACAAGGTCAACAAGGACAAACCGCTTGACTGGTTGTGCTCAATATACAAGTGTCATTGGCATACGGTCACCATGAGTGCAAGGACTCTGAATTCAGGGTTCCAGAGACAGTCAAGCCAGCGAGGGCTGAGGCATTCAATGCAGGTGGGAGCGACTCAAAGATCAGTATCAATTTGCGGGATTCCGTACTATTCTCTTGCGCATGGACATCCGTGGTTAGTGGCCAGGAGGATGAGTTTGACAATGTGAGCATGGGAAGGCTGCACTTCCATGTGCGGTGTCTTCGGGCGTTCTGACTACGTTGCTGAAGGATTCTTTTCTCATGCGAGCTTAGACAATTGACGGATTGATTGAGGATGTTGGTTATACATTTATCTCTATATCTTGTCCGACAGTTGCTTATCATCGTTCAATTGCCTTGATTTGTTGTCAATGGCGGAAAACTATCCCACTAAGACGCCATCGCCGCCCCGATGTCGTGATTATAGTCGCAGATGACACCCGTATTGACCGTCTAATTTGTCTATTATGGCAGGTATCAGCCCCTCCTGGTGGATTTGCGGCACGTTTCTTGAAGAAATTGCCCTTGTTTAATGTTGCTGTATTGGCTGGGTTATAATATTAGAGCGGCGGGTCCTGCACGTTTATCCTAACTCAAGAAAAGGCTTTGAAGGGGTGTGGGGTTATCATGATTCATGTACTCTGAAGACTTCCTGAGCAATATAAATATAGAGACAGTGTCATCCGCAGTATTGCATTATACAGACCGGCCCAACTGATAGAAAATGCCCTCATTCGACCAACACAAAGTCGAGGCAGATGTACACTCATCTCTATCCTCTCATCCCTCGGCCGATAAAGACGACAGTTACGATGTCTACACGCAGGCTCGAGGACTCGAATATCCGTCAGAAGAGGCGAAGAAGGTCCTCCGCAAGATCGACACTCGTTTGATTCCGCTCCTCGTGGTGATATACATGCTCCAGGTGCGTATTCCCTGTTGCATTAATCATCGCTAATTGCGTAGTATTTGGACAAAAACAGTCTCAACTTCGCCTCGGTGTACGGCCTCAAACAAGGCACGAATCTCCACGGGCAGGACTACGCCTGGCTCGGCTCAATCTTTTATTTCGGCTATTTGATCGCCCAGTATCCGGCCGGATATGCCCTACAGCGACTTCCAATGGGAAAAGTCCTGTCCATCACTACCATCAGTATACCATCGCTTAGAACTTATCTAGATCAATATTAACAAGACACAGTGTGGGGCGCACTGCTCATGACCACGCCCGCCTGCCACAACTTCGCCGGCATCGCCGCCAACCGCTTCCTCCTAGGGTTCGTCGAGGCCGTCGTGAACCCTGGTTTTGTTCTCCTCATGAGCATGTGGTATACAGCGCAGGAGCAGCCACTGCGCCTGGAGGCGTATTACTGCACTAACGGCATCGCTACGATGTTCGGGGGGTAAGGCCCGTCGCCTCATGCCTCGCTCTTGTGAAATCTGCTAAACGGAAATGGAATAAAATAGATTGATCGGCTACGCAGTGGGACATATTACCTCCGGTCTACCGCGGTGGATGTACGTCTTCCTCATCTTCGGTGCGGTCTCCGTCGCGACAGGGATCATCTCCCTGCTTCTGCTTCCTGACCTCCCGTCCACCGCGCGATTCCTCAACCCCAGGGAGCGAGCTATTGCCGTCGACCGCGTCGCCAGGAACCAGCAGGGCGTCAAGAATCACCACTTCAAGTGGGAGCAGGTCTGGCAGGCCGCGCGGGATCCCAAGACATGGCTTCTCTTCGTGATGGCCGTTGGGGCGCAGGTGCCCAACTCTGCGTTGACGAGTGTATGCTTTGGTTCCTGTTACATTGCTAACCCTAAACACTGACCATGTCAAATTCTGACTGTAACAGTTCACCTCCATCATCGTCGGCTCCTTCGGCTTCGATACCCTCGGCACGCAATATCTCCAGATTCCCGGTGGCGCGGTGCAATTCCTCGCGTTACTGGTAGGTGGCTGGATCGCGACGAAATTCGGGGATAAATTCCACTCGCGCAGTGCGTGTATGATCGTCGCTAACAGCATCTGTATCATTGGCTCTGGATTACTCGTTGGCCTGCCTGCTACAAACAAATGGGGACGGCTTGTGGCGCTGTGGCTGTGCTACTTCCAGGGTCTCGGATTCAGTATGAGCTTGACGGTAGTGAGTTCGAATGTCGCCGGATATACCAAGAAGCAGGTGACCGGGGCGCTGCTGTTTACGGGGTACTGTGTGGGGAATATCATTGGACCGCAGACGTTCAAGGAGAGTGAGGCGCCGAGGTATCGCAGTGCTTATATTGCGTGAGTAGACTCTTTCCGTGTGGGTATAGTGACACTGACGGGGCAGGATGCTGGTGGGGTATGTCGTCAAGCTTGTATCGATTACGGCATTGTATGTGTATATGTACTCGGAGAATCGGCGAAGGGATCGGATGAGTTTAGAGGAGTCGGATGGGGATAGGGGTATTGAGAATGGGATGCTGGTAAGGTTGTCGCTACTGGAATATATGACGCAGGCTAATTTTCCAGGATCAAACCGAGATTGACAATAAGCAATTTCGGTATGTCCTGTAGTACTCTACCAACAGTCTACAGAAGAAATACGACAGTGTAATTAGGAACGACTGTATCAAAACTAAAGGTAGTATTTAGGGCTGTCTGGGCCATAGTCCTGCATTCTTAGGACGATAGGCGTATAGAAGGTAGCTTCAAGCCTCCATATTTACTGGCAACATACAACATCAAGACGCTATTGCCCAGGCCAGGGCATCGGGGTCGTTTTGAGGGGCAAGATGGAAGATGGAAGTGGGGAGCAGGGGAACGGTAGTTGACTGAACCTAAGATAAGTTCGGTTCAATAGTGGTTCTTTTAGACATTGCTAATACGAGTTCCACCTCCACCGAGCTCATCATCGGTGTATCGTCTCTTCTCACCTTCGACGTCTACAAAACGTACTTTCGCCCGCAGACCGACTCTGCCACACTGGTCAGGGTTAGTCACTGGGCCGTCGCGCTGTATGCACTGCTTCTTTCCGCCTTCTGTAGCATCCTCAACGCGGTAGCATTGAGTCTCACGTGGGTCCTGACCGTGATTGTCGGTCGGGCTGCTGTGCCCGTCGGGCCGATTCTGCTCTGGGGACGGATGTCGACAGTTGCAACGATTGTGGCGCCATGGCTCGGTTTTGTTTGCGGTATAGTGGTTTGCTTCGTTACGGCGATGAAACGTCGAGACGACGGGGGATGGAACGAATGCCGTTGCGGGCAATCTTGCTTCCTTTGGGGTTGGTATCGTCTCTGCTGTGGTTCTAAGCTATCTCTTTCCGAAAAAGTATCCGTGCGTGGATGATCAGGTTGCGTCGGGAATTGAGGGGGTGTCTCCAGGCTCACAAGAGGACACGGTGCAGCCATCGAAAGCTGTGGACGGTTATGAAGAAGCGACGCCGGCACCGGCGAAGAAAGAGATTGTCGAGTTCCTTCAAGACAAGCAGATTGAGCCCATGGACCCAACTCTGGTCCGCAAGGCAGAACGGTTGGCGCAGGGGCGCGTATCGTCTTTATCCTCATCGCCGTGATTCTCGTGCCTTTCACTCTCTTTGGAACTGGCTAAGTGTACAGCCAGCAGTTCTTCACCGGCTGGGTAGTCGTGTCCCTGATCTGGATCTGGGCTAGTGTCATGATCTGCGTGGTATCCCCGGTCGTTGAGAGTGACGGGGCGCTCGGAGACATTTCTAGGGGACTATGGATGGACGCGAAGGCGTTGTTGGGAGTGAAAAAGCAGGATTTGCAGACCAACGCTATGCATTATATCTAATTAGTTTAAATCAGCAACTTTTATTCTCCAGCCAAAAAGGAAACCACAGCCAACGCAAACGACCCTGAATCATCCTGTCTCCCATCGTAATCGTATCCCACCTGCTCCAAAAACAACCCCAGCTTCGAGTCCGTCCAGCCCAGCAACGGCGCAAACTCAAGACACATACTTTGCATCCCGCAGGCATCTAGCTCGTAGTGGCCCTGTACGGAGAGGACCCGGCCGGGGTAATACATTCCCTGGATCGGACAGATAGGCGTGCTTCCGATATTCACCCACGGTGCGGGCAACGATACCGCCGCTGTCTCTGGCAACACGCCCTCGTTTCCGCCTTTGACCATTACCCGGTCGCCATGGAACATCTGAATCTTCAACTGTCCATTTGGTAGACCGCCGAGCGCAAGCGGGAACGCATCGACGAAGTCCCTGTTCAGCTGGACAGTGTGGAGACCCACTTCCCTCCCCAGCGGACATTTCTCAACATATACATCCCCCGCCCCGGAGTCCACCAACGCGTGTCCGATCAACTGGTGACCGAAGCATGTACCCATGATCCTCACGGCGGGGTACTCCCGAAAGACAGTCTGAAGGAACTTGGCCAGTTTCTGCATCCAAGGTCTCTTGTCGATCTCGTAGACGCCCGGTGCACCTCCCGTAATCAGTATAGCATCGATGCTGTGTTCGGATAAAGGTGTCTGGGTCTTGCGCAGGTGTCTGAAGTCTGGGTAGTGTCCGCCGCGGATGTCATATGGTGTCACTGCGATGCTGATGTCGCTTCCTGGCGAGAGGGCATTGAGGCGGGTGGCTGCATCCTGAAGAGCACTGCGGAAGTGGGCGCTGCAGAGGCCGTGTGTTTCGTAGAGGGTTCGAGGGGGAATGTCGACGTCAAGAACGGCGATGTGAATTGTTCGTGTCATTTTGGTTTGTCTTTGGCTTGCTGTTGTGATACTCCTAGAGAGGAGCCATGTTCATATACTGTCTCCCGGGTTAAAATTCATACAGCTACTTGAAAAACTCTTACATAACTTCTATTGGGTAATGAGACTACATCTTGGAGTCGTATATCCACTCGTCTCCAACAAGGTCCTAAACAGATCAGATGAGCAGGGCAAATGGATATACGATCCGATACCTAACGGTGAGCTTATTCTTTCTGTTCCAGAGCGGATGGGCGATCTGCATTCTACCCCGTGGGGCAGGCGGCCTTATTTTTACGTACAAAAAGTGTTAAGGCTAATTCTATTAGCAATAATATTATCAAACGGATTGGTTTTTCTTTCTTGATTCCGAGATGTCCCGATGTTTGCTGAGAGTGTCTGCTTCTTTTTCTTCTTGTTTATAAGCACAAGACAACCTCTGTGGTCATGTTGAGCTATTGTTGCAGAAACTACGGGCGGATGTTGAGCGAGCGTTGGAGTATCGCATCATCCTTCAATCGGGTCGAATTTTTCTACCACGAGGTCGTCCTATCCGGAAGGATCCGAACAGGATCGTCTGTCTGGTCTCCTAAGCATGACTCTTTTTGTTCTTGGACGCGCCATTGTCGATATGTAGGACGCGAATATCGAGCGTACTTCCTCCATGAGTAATAAGCACAAAACTCGAAGTATATCCAGCATACTCCGCAATGGCATCTCAGAAACGGGTGGTCCTCCTGATTCAAAAATATTGAAGTACTATCAATTGAGGTAGAACAGCCGACGTTCGTCCGCAACTCGACAGTGTTAGGCATAGACTCATTCGTAGGGCAGCTGTACCTTGATATTCCTCTGGTATCGGATAGTTTAAATATCCGATAGATTAAATATCCTGTCCCAACCCCTTATATGTACACTAGACAACCCTGTACCCCGTCGCGTCTGAAACCTCGGCCGACAGCCACGGTGCATCGCCGCCAACGGCCTTCATGGGCAAGGATGTCCAACAATCTTATACTCCTTTAAAGGAACACGGAATTTAACAGCAGGGATCATTTGGAGAAAGTCCCAGTCTCCTTTGAACCAGGATGTGGAGTGGTCCTGGATCAGCTCCGTTGCATTATCCGGGGAAGGCTCCACTTCTCAGGAACAACGGGGTCAAGCACCACTTGATCATGGCGGATATCTCGATCAGACCTGTCATTCCATAAGTCACCATTGATTGTACAGCGCAACAAGAATACTTCGGGATTTACTGATATAGGAGGGGTCTTCCATGTTTACCTACCTTGTCAACTGATATAGAAACAATGAGACTGAGGCTGATAGAGTCTCTTCGTTCCGCGAATCAGTCAGACGTATACATCTGCTTTCACGAATTCAGGCGGGGGAACCGAAGACACGGCTCTCGAACTCCTGACAGGCTGTTCTGGAGCACAGACGAGAGTTCGATCTGAGGGCAAGCGAACCAACGTCCTACCGCCGCGTTCGAGAAAGCCAGGTATTCCTTTCCTTTTGATAGCAGTGGCTTGATCAGTTGTTCGTCGTTGCTTTACTCCGCAGACTAGTTTGGAATGACCCTGAGAGCCAGGCGTCTAGACCGTGGTCGAGTGGATATACAGTATCGGCTCTGTGTGCCCAAAGTATAGATGTCAAATCTAACCCCTGAGTGCATGCTTATGAACCTACATTCAGTATTATTATTCTATCACATGTGTGCCTCTGTGCCTCATGCTTTGCCCTGCTAGCTTGAGAGATTTTCTGTCCGTATACAGTGGGGCAGGCTGATGTGTCGCTTCCCGCGATTGGCCAGTAGACACGATTAGAGTGGATTCGCGAACCTTCTCCCGTTGGACGGCGCAGCATGTGGCTGCAGGTCATAAGTCAATTCTGTCAGTTGATTTGCTGGAATGTCATAGAGTTTAACTTTGTAACAAGCTCACCGGAGGAGAGACGGTCGCCCCGGAAGACGCAGCCAATCATTTGGCTGCCCTCACTAGCGAGATGGCGTTAGGTGGAGCGGCTATAATTAACCAAGGGCTCTCAGGCTGGAGCCATGGTTACATCAGGCGTTGGAGGCTGAACTGAACTGGTCGGATGGTGGCGAGCGTTGTTTGGCTTCCACGTTGACTCTGGCCCTGGCTCTAAGACTCTGTGGATCTTTGACACAGTGGACATGCGGGATGAGGGGATGGTCGTGGAAGCTGCTCCTATCAGACTGTACCATATCTTATATCATCACTCAATTAACAAATCTCATTTGAGAAAGATAAGCCTGTAGTGGATCCAGCATCATTCCGGCCCTCCGAGATCGGATCAAACGCTCAAAAGCCATGGTCCTATCATCCTATTGCTCCTATGTTTGCGCGTCAGATCACCTTGTCTGCTTACTGTACACAGACTGGGCAATCAGGCACGCGATCAGACGGCATCGATCCAATGGACGGCAAAAGTCAATCAAACAGGTCAGGACGCCGCCGATCACAGCCTTGTGTGTCGAATAAATAGCCATGGCTCGTAGTCAAAGCTTCTGGAATTGTTCGCCCGGTCAATGGTGCCTCAAATGATATCGGCGATATTAGAGAGACAATAAGCGAAGGGCTTATCTGCCACCTCGGTAGCTCCAACTCTGTTGCATGAACCCTGGCTAGTGCAAAGTGTCTTTTTGCTATTGTTTGCCTTGGCAATAAAACGATGAAAACGCCTCCCTCTCCATAATACGACCAGGGTAGGAGGCCCATCGTTTGCCTTATATCCCAAGTCATCCTTAATAGCTGCACTTATTGTTTTGATGCACCCGCAACTCCCTCCTCCACCAGCCGGAGGAACCATGACCCAATGTCCTCCATCCGGAGCTATACCTCTACTAATCTAGCCGAAGACTTCGCCATCGCCTGTCTCATTGCCGTCTCTTGGTACAATGCCGTCGAGCTCATCGTCCTCTGCTTCACCACCTTCAAGAAATATGGCGGCTTCTACTTCTGGACCCTCCTCGTCTCCTCGGTCGGCATCATTCCCTTCGGTCTCGGCTACATCCTCCTCATCTTCAATATCTACCCCGGCTATTTCGCCGTCTCGCTCGCAGACGTAGGATGGTGCGCCATGGTAACGGGGCAATCCCTCGTCCTCTGGTCGCGGTTACATCTCGTCGTCTACTCCCGCAAGGTCCTGCGCGCCACCCTGGCCATGATCATTGTCGACGGGATCATCCTCCACACCATCGGCTGGGTCTTCGAGATGGGCGCCCAGTCCCCTCGGGCCGGATGGTTCACGCCCGCGTTCGAAATCTTCGAGCGCGTCCAGCTCATCGGCTTCTCCATCCAGGAAATCATCCTGTCAATCATCTACACCAAGGCTGCGCTGCGGCTCCTCAAGCTGCGCCCGAGACGGCAGTACCGCTCCACCCTGGTCCAGCTGGTCATCATCAACGTCCTCTTCATCCTCATGGACGCTGCCATCGTCAGCTTCCAGTACGCGGGGCTCTTCCACATCCATGTGTCCTTCAAGGCGATGGTGTATAGCGTCAAGCTGAAGCTGGAGTACGCGATCCTGGGGAAACTGGTCCACATGTCGCTCATGTCGCATTCGAATTCGGCACCGACGGATCCGTCCGATGCGCTGGAGATGTCGCGCAGGACGAATAATCGGTCGCATCTGGATCAGACGAGGGAACATCGGGACAGTCAGGCTAGTATCATTCGGGATGGGGCGGGGTTCGTCGATGGTGAAGATTTGGCTGATTGTCGTACGGGTTCGACGAAGGGGTCGTTTCCGTCGACGATCAAAGAACCGGATGCTGCGTGTGTCGAGGTGGGCCATAGGGTGTGAGCAGCAATCGAGGATTGATGAAGGGCTGTATATAGAGGAGGAAGACTCGGCCAAGACGGTCATATTTCTTTTGTTATAAACTACATAATATTTTGGGAGACCAGAAAGGCATATGCCAAATATAAAGTCTCCGTATAAATCACACGAAATAGAGTCTGCGCTCTCATATCAAACCAGTCCAGACCAGGTAAGCTGGTTATATGGGGTCGGGGATGGTAATGAATAAATCTCTGTAATATTAAGTATGACAAGATCATTGGGGGGTGTATATATATATCTGCGCATATATGTGCATTACTGTCAGGTCCACTAAGATAAATATATATCATAGGTAAAGGTTATCGGTCTCAATCCTTGTACCTGCGACGATCTCCATGACAACATTCAAGGGACCATCATAGGATAAGACCCCTCTGAACACAACTTGAAAGGCCTCGAAATTCTCTATACATAGAAGTGCCTAGGTTGACAAACTTTCCGGAGAGATCGATTCTCGAAGGTGAGCGGAAGTAGGGATCCTGCCCTGTGGTATGATGAAGGAGGGAAAATGCTAATGTGTTGTCTCTATCGACGCGTACTGATCTAAGAAAAGGAAGAAGTGAGGAGTCTGTACGTCAAGTTGTATATCTGCTACTACACTATCATCTCCTAGAGGAAGTGTCATTAATGCACTCTTTGTTTGCTTTCCTATGTCAAGGAGGTCATCTAGGAGAAAGCTGGAGTAACAAGGGATTGCTGCTCGCACCACCGATACCGCGCGCTGACATTGAGTCATGATACATCTGCCACATCGTTCATCCCACATTCATTACCAAACCCTGGTCCAAGTTGCTCATTGTTTGCAGCTTCTGAAGGTCTTGCAAAGCAAACGCGAGCTGGTGAGCTGACACCCTGGCTGATGAGTCTACTACAAGCACATGCTGTAGCAAGTATTCGCTGAAACGACGAACCTCTGGCGGAAGCTGAGGCTCATTGAGCAGCATGTCCGCCCAGCGGCAAACTTCCGGGGACAATTCGAATCCTTGATATCTGTCAGAGGATGTTTTTGAATAGAATGGAGCATCCGCTCCTCCCCTTGCTTCACGAAATCTTTGAAGATTTATCAATCCCATCACAGCCCAAACAAGAAATTCAAAATATATGCATCCCAGGCTCCAGGCGGCATATTTCGGTACATCATCCCCCTCGGCCTCATATGGGGCACGATACGCCTCTTCAGATTGCCGAACAGGGCGTTTACTTTGATCAGCCATCAGGGTCCGTAGATCTAACCGTAAAGTTCCCCACTTGAATCTGCGTCCTGAGCGTTTGCACCATTGAATGCTGCGTGGCGTAATGTGGCGTAGTGAGATACATCGTTCTTCCGGATCGTTGGAAACGACAAAGGCAAGAGCCTCGGCGATGCCAGTCATTTGGAACAGGCAGAATCTCAGAAAAAGTCGAGACGAGTCCGTAACCAAGCTTTGCCGCCAAGCGTCATCAAGGTTCGGCCCAAGGATGGGGAAAATCAAACGGATCGGCTGGGGTGTTCCGCTCTGTCCCCAAGGACGATATGATGCAACTGCTTGGAGCAGATGCCACGGGACACGCCAAGAGTGCCCGTGACATACCAAAAAAGGCGGAGGCTCATCCATGTGCCAGGAACTGAGCGCGACCTGGTAAACGTTTTCCGCACTACGGTAAGGTGGAGGAAAAGCATAATGTGCAGGATGAACATGAACAAATAGGGATTCGTCGTCGTAAGTATAGAATGTGTTTTCAATACGCAAGAAGGGCATGATCCCGTTCTCTGAGTCATAGTGTTGACCTTCTTGAAGTATAGGGGCAAGGTAGAGGTGCTGTCGGAGACAGAACAACTCAGCCAATTTCTCCCACCTATCTGCCTCCATCGAACCGACAGATCGTGAGGTGCTCAGCTTGTTAGACCCAGATTGAACCGCGGGCGGCACAGTGGTCTGGGATACTTTTGATTTGTATTTCTCGAGAAATCGCACCCTCAAAATGGGAAGATGGCGGTCTGTCATTGGAGACTGAATCATCGAAGACTGAAAGAAGGCCCCAATATAATCATTGATCCCTATATCAACAAGAATCGCAAACCATCGCTGGCGGTCTGCGAGGATACCATGCGCGAGTGGCGATGCGCCATATCCGTAAAACCCAGCTTCCTCAAGCACTTTGCGAATAACATCATATGTGACCAGCTGGCTCAGAACGTCACAGGGGACAAACTCTCCATCGAGGCCAGTCACTCGCCGTTGCTGTAACTCATATTGCAGCCAGTCGGTAATCCGTAACTGGCTCTTGTCAGTGTGTCCACTGAAACTTGAACTGGAGTAAAACTTACATCAAGAGAATTGCTCGCTAAGAGGCACAGCCAAAGCCGTCCCATGTCCTTCTCACAGTTCCAAACCCCTAGAATATGATACATATAGTAGTCCTTGGCGTAAGCCAAATACGGATGACTCTCTGCTAGAGATTTTCGCTGCGCCATGGCCGTCTCGGCCAAGGTTTGGCCTATGTCGCGTTTGCCGGTTTTTCGTGACTTGAGCAGTTCCAGCGCGATTCTTTTTGTGTTTCCAGTCCCTCCAAAGATGGTGCTCACAATCCGAGCTGGGGCATCTTCGGCGGCAATGGATGGAAAGACTGTGCGAGATACTTGTCGGTCGAAAATCCCATAGTTGAGGTACGTTAGAATGATCCGACCCATTTCCTTATTTGCTTCGTCCGGGTCGATGGGATTCGGATTTTCAGACTCATCGCCCCGAGCAATAAAGAATTGTTTAACACTATGGTGGGCAAACCGAACAGTCTGCTCTTCTTCATCTATAATGATCAGGCACTTGCAGCTTGCAAGAGCCGCATGAATATTATTGATTTGTCGTGAAGGCTCCCACGTTGTGTCACCGGGAATGACGCTGAGAGCCTCACATAATTGCTCCACTGATAGGGGTCGGCGGGCAGCCATAACCAACTGCACAAGTCTGTGGCGATGACGGATATTCGAGGCACCGGCTTGCTGTAGAACCCGCGTAAATGTTTCTGAAAGGCTTTGTGGGAGACTTCCAAGGGCTTGGAGAATTGCCTCATCTGTCTGCTCCATGCAAATGCAGTCGAGTAGCAGTGTGGCCCAGAGAAACCTAAACTTGTCAGACGACGTAATCCTTGATTTCAGTGAGTTGAGGAAGTGATGCAGGGGGAATACGTACATTCCTTGGGCCCCAGTGACAAGGGCATGTTGGATTGGAAGGATGATAGCTGGATCTCCGATGCACAACCTGTCTGACTCGAGCCGCTCATGTAGCTCGGCGTCAATATAAGCCTCGATGTCAGGATTGTTCTCGGGGATAAGAAGTGTCCACTTCCCATTAAGAATGCCAGCTGCGACTTTGGCATGATCCGCCGCGTCCTGCCTGAATGACAGGCAGATACGGATTTTGTAGTGCCTTTGCAGCTGCTGGAGTATCTCTAAAGTTGTCTGTCGCTCGGTTTCGGGACACTCATCAAGCCCATCCACAATCAAACTGTAAATCGGACCCGGAGGGAGTAGTTCTCGTACAAAATTAAGAATCAGTTGCTCGTCAGGATTTGCAAGCCAATTCTCGCAGAGATTATCCACTTTCATCAGGTCAATAGGCTGCTGCCCTAACAGTTGCCGCGCAAGGCATCCGATGATGGTCCTCGCAGTCAAAGACTCAGTGACATCGAATCGACAGAAAAAGTACGCACTTGTTCCCCTCGGAGTAGAGAAAATCAGATCATCAACCATGTTCGCCAGCAATGTTGTCTTGCCAGAGCCCAATTTTCCGGCGCACAACAGAGAGCATGAGGAAGCCGTTCCTCTCCACTGTTGATACTCACTTGTGCTCGCAAACCAGGTTGTTGTTCCCTGTTTCCGAGCCTGCTTCCAAGATGTCTGGTAGTCATATGTGGTACAAGCATCAAGTAGTCGGATTCTGAGAGACAATTGGTGACGCTGATTGCTGGAATCAGAGAATTTAACCATTATCTGTCGAAATCGAGAATGCTCCTTCGCTTCCTCTTGGAGGCTTTGACTTGACAGTAAAGCAACTTCTTCCACAATGGCAATTGCCCACTGTTGAAGCTCTTTCTCGAAAGACGCTAAAGAAGAGTCCGATATAGCGGATGAGAGCTGTGATAATGCGGACTTTTGCAGAAACTTCACAGCGTGCTTGCAAATGTTCAAAATAACAATAAAATACTCGCATAGTGCTTCCCGTAGTCGCTTCGAGCGAGGGTAAAGCAAGGCCATGTCCTGATATCGGGGAGCACTTCTGCCCGCGTTCATAAACAATGTTGACATTTTCTCCAGATATGAGGCGCTTTGAGTTAACATCGTTAAAGTCAGCCTCACTGCCGCCCACACTCCAGAAGCAACCAAATTCTGCGACCCTCCTATAAAGGCATCGCCTATAGATGCGTACTGTTGCACAGCTTGTAAGACGTGTACAAAACGCGGTCCATAACATCGCCTCGTTGTTTGTTGGATATCACGGTTGATTTCAGCGGTCAACCGATTGACATCGTTCGCATCTGGGGGATGGTCTTTGAAGGCAGCGATGGATGCGTCGAATCTTGCTCTCCGATCGGTTGACAGCACTACTTTGAAGTCGGCCAGTGCCCGCACAAGGCGTATCTCAGGCTTGAGCCTCGACGCATTTGCTATTGGGCTTTCCATGGTGAAGTCATGCCGGTGTATTTCAATTTTATAACTCTGAGTACCTTTTAAACAAACCCAGGAGAGTCACGTTTGCGTGATGGCCAGCCGATGGTATTGAAGATTTGCTCACATTGCGATTTGGAGGCGACATGATGGTTTAAGCGCTCCGACCAATCCGCATGACTGACCGGAGACAAGTCTTTGACCCCTCAGGGCCATCCCTGTTTTGCTGACCAATAAAATCATGGCTCAATTATAGGCTGTACTGCGTCGTGCAGTGAGATAGGCGCTGACCACTGTACGACGAGGCTAAAGGGTGTCTAGGCGTCATTTTCGTATTCAGGTTTCTTCTTTGGTCAAAAAGCATACAGATCCGTTCTTGCTTGCTCACTGTATAGATGCAATTTTAGATACTGATAACTGAATGGGCTGAAGTGATGATTGTGATGGAGAGTGGAAGAGGGACGAGGAATTCCGGCAGGAACAGTCTCTCTCCACCGTTGAGGAGTCACGTGCTGCCATCGATCACACAAATACTTCTAGGCTTGAGTGACTATTTTTATGGACAGACAAAAACTAGGCCGTGCTTCAGAGTAGATTATGACGTTCTCCTTGGGTGATACGAAAATACACACTGCTCCCTCAAATCTTAAACTCAAACGCATACGCCGTCGTGGTGTCCGTCTGATACACCGGGAACGTCACCGAATCCCCCGAGTATGCATGTCCATACCAACCAAGATCCTTCGGCCCATCCACCCTACCGTAATGCACATCCGACGCGACTGGGAACCCCCAGGTATGCACGTTCAGCGTCCCACTAGTCGGCAGCCCCAACGCAGACAACTTATTCAACTGCAACTGCCACGTCCCCTGGGTGATGCGCACACCGACCAGCACCCGTGCAACTCTATCATCCCCGACAGTCGCATACGCATCGATCTTGAGGTCCGACGACGGAAGCGTACCCACCCGGTGGCCAGTCATGTTGAGGTTATAGTACTTGTACACCTGGTAGTCGCCGTTGGGGAAGTACCCCGTGCCCTTGGGATCGTAGTTATTGTTCTCCGCGTTGGGCTTGCTCAGCAGACTGGCCAGCAAATCATGCAGCTTCCACCCGCTCAGCCAGTTGCCGCGCAGGCCGATCGCATTGATTCGTTCCAACTGGCCGATCCACCACGCCGAGCCAGCGGGGACCTGCTCGTTTAACACGGCGTACTCATTGATGTTGATCGGGCGCCCGGGCAGCCCGTACGTCTTCTGCCAGTAAACTAGACCCGCCTGCGCGGAGAGGAGGTCCCCGCCGCCACCTTCCATGTGCCAGGCGTATTGGTCGGGGATGCTCTTGTTGCTGGCCACGAAGGAAGCCCAGTTCTTCCACCAGTTGTTGCTCGGGAGGGGCTCGCCTGCGGACGCGGGGCCGGAGAGCTGTACGCCAGCGAGCTCGGAACTACTAGCAGTCAGTTTTGTGTTTCCTGGACGCGTGGAATAGCCGCAAGACATACCGGAGACGGTGGAACGTGCGCCCCCACATCTGCAGGTACTGCGTTTGGTCCCGGGTCCAGAAAAAGCTGAGGTCGGGCTCGTTCCAGATATCGATGATCAGGCCGTCGGTCATGCCGTTGGCCTTGATGTCGCTGAGCAGATGGGTCAGGTAGTTGTCCCAGCTGGTCCAGTCGCCGTTATCACCGGGGTAGGGGGCAGAGGAATTCTGCGATCCGTCGGCGCCCCATAGATCGTGGATCAGGAAGATGAATTTCGCGCCGTGCTGGCGGGAAGTTTTGTAGTTGGAAAGCGCGGATGCAAAGCGGTTCTAGTCGTTGTCAGGAACAATCCCTGTTTTAAGGGGAGGGGGTGGGGCAGTGTAGTACCTTGTACTCATTCAGTCCCCAGATCCAGCCCCTTCCAGGCGCCGCAACCTGGGCTCCACCAGCCCGCTCGTAGTTGTATCCCATGTCGGTGTAAAATTTGGACTACGCCTGGTAAGCAGTGTTCGCGGTGAGGGGAAAGAAGACATACGGGAATCTGGTTAGGGGTATCAGGAAGACCGTACAGCAGTCCCGAAGCGAGATGCTGCGGTTTGCCCGTGTTATTGGCGAAGTTCACCTGGGCCGTGACGGTATCTCTTTTCTGTTGGGCGGGACTGCCAAGGGCCGTCCCGGCTAACAGCAGGGAGGCGAGAGTGGTCGTCTTCATGATAGCTGCTCCTGACTTGAAGATTGCAAAGATGTGTTGTTCAACTGAGCTGAAGAAGAGTCTTGAACGGCCTTTTATACCTCAGCGGTGCCACAGAGCGACCCGGCGGAGTGGGGTATGTTTCATTCCGGCGTCAGACAAGTGTGAAGAAATGCCCCAGAAACCTAATCTGAGCGAATCTCCGAGCGGAGCGAACGTACTTTTCCTGCAATTGTGGCGTTGTAGGAAGCCATTGAAATACGATGATCGTCCCGGCGGTGGGGTTGCTGCCGAAAAGGAGAGAATTGTTCCTGAGGACCGGTTGGGGGAAATGTGGGGATGCGGGAAATCCAGGGGATTATTCAGGCATCATTCCGGGGTCGATCAATGTAGACGCTTTGGTCCGTGCTCAATATGTACTCTGTATTCTGCGGTGACGGCGAATTACTGCATCCGGTATAGCGCGCCTAATCGGGGAAAGCGCATCGCTGCCGCTTGGCATCCTGGTGCGTGGTCTATATAGATGGCCTCCTCGCCCGCCTGCCTCTCCTCGTTGCTTTCCCATCCTTTGACGCCGCGTCGACTCCGACCAACTTGAGCCATTTTTGCCATTGGGCCGGTCTCTCCGTGTTCTGCACCTCGCCACCCCCCTTTACTGCGGTGAGTCGGGATCATTTTCCACCCGTTCCTTGAGCCGTCCTCTGACTGATCTTTTCTCCTCTTTGTTGAACAGAAAAATGCAGCAGAATTCGATGCGATCGCGAAGTTGCGCAGGCGGCTTACTCCGAGGATTTCCACCACAGCCATGATGAGTGACACTTGCGGGACAAGATTGAAAAGGCCGATATGTGGCACAGATCGTATGGGTAGATCGCGCGGGTTTGGCTCGTGACATGAGAGGTTGTCTCTTGAGACCTAAGTCGACTGTGCTGAAGGTCTTCGAGCCACTGGCCGAGCTGAGCCAAGCCACGTTTGATAGTCAAACATCGCTCCGTCCGCCGTTTCGCCAATCATGGATATTGACTCCGGGGTCCTGTGACGCATGGAGCTCGATTGCTGATGTCGCACCGCATGATCGAGGCGTCATCGGAGCCACCGGCGGAGCGCCGACATATCCGTGGAGAGCATGGCAGCGCGACCTAGAGTCAGGGGGATTTCGGCATTGGCTGAGAATGACACGCGTGCACAGATGAACCAGCTGTCGATCTCGATGGACTTCCTTCGCGTTCAGATTCACTCTCAACACGGTTGGCGACCGAACAAGGCGGCCTCTACGGCCCACACTGGGTGGCCGGCGCAGTCGTGACGGCGAAGCAGGGTGCAGAAGGCGATTAACCCCCTACCATCCTCCCACGAACATCCACAATGACATCAGACACGGCTTCGATTTCGACTGACCTCGAGGTCACCGTTTTAAGATTCGCCTTGTTTAGCTGGTGGCTGTGGAGGTGCCTGATAGAGTCGAGGACAGGCGCGCCCAATACCGCGATTTGGGACTCGAGGTTCCCGAGGATGACAATTGACAGGTGACGGGGACATACTGGTGCCACTACGACCGGACAATACAGCAAGGCTATCTAAGACAGTAAACTCGCCCTGTTACCTCTTGTTCAAGATCAGACTTTCAATTTTTTTCGACCCTAGTCAGTCGTGGACCTGTGACTTTGGGTGATATTCTCGTTTCATGAAATCTAGTGAAATATATGAACTCCGACGTATAATGTGACACTCTTAGCAGAATAGATATCTGTTTACTTCGCTGACGATCATGGTCCCAATTGTTTGCCTATTGTCTTCGCAGTCACGCTCCCAGCTGATCCAAGTCAACCGCTCCGGATAGACAAGTGTGATGAGCAGGGGCCGTGTTGTTTTGCTGTAAGCACTAAAATCAGGACATGATATCTCGCCGCCATTCATTGGCGGATTGATTGACAGGGTGAAGTTCCCCTCCTCTCCTGGGAAGTTCCCCGCTCCTCCAAAAAGCCGTCTTTGTTCCAAGAGAAGCTCCTTTCTCCCAGCCGTTTTCTTCCGCGGGCGAATCTTCCATCTAATTCAGCACATGGCAGACGAAAAACGCCAACGAAGAAAGAAATGGAGGGAGGAGCACAGAAAGCGGCAGAAAGTGCTTCATATCCCGAAGCGAGTTCAATGGGGTTCATATAATCTCAATTTTCCGACCTTCGATAACGCAGGCATTCTTGAGCTTCGACGATTCATGTGTGAGTTGGACGACGAATCAGATTGGGCGAAACCAAGAGAGCACATTATCGCCGACATATGGAAAGCCTGCTTATGTCTAAGCGTCCCTTGGAGATTATCGCAATGGTATCATCGATCTTCTCAACATTAGATGGGGACTTGATTCTTTTGAACGATTCGCAGGCTCTGTACGATTGCCTTGATAGAAAGTTCGATAAGCCGCTACTTCACCGAGCCTCGTTATCTGGAAATTCACTCTGTGGTCGCAAACTGACCTTAGATGCGTTCTGGACGCATCTACAGGAACAGCCGAACAAGACGATAGACGTTTACGACTACGCCGTGGTAGAGCCTACTTCGAGAACACGAAGATTGACAGTCCAGGAAGTATTGTTGCATTGGAAGCTCCCAGAGCAGGAGCGACATGCTATCAACCTCCTGGATATCGAGAACAGAATCGGGGACTTCTGCCCGATTGAAATAGTGCAACATGATCTTTACAGCAAAATATCTCGCCTATCCCCGGATAATGTTGGAAAGACCAACTCAGACTGGAAAAATAATCGAAAAGAATTCTTCCTCCTCAGTGGCGCAAACACGATATCGTCCATCCACGTGGACAATGGAGGTCAGCTAATGTGGATTCTGATCCTCGAAGGCCGGAAAATCTGGTACTTTCCTCGCAAACTGAGCAGCAACGCTGTCCGGTTGTTGGCTGTTATGGGCTCTCAGTGTCCTCGAGGATATGAAGGTTGGGTGCGGGTAGAGCTATGCGCGGGGGATCTGTTGTGAGTATATTTTAATAGATTGTATCGGAGTATGCAGCTGATATCCCTACCAGAATTATGCCACCCAGTTGCCCACATGCAGTGTTTACTCCAGATGACTGCCTTGCCGTTGGTGGCCATTTCTATACGGCCGCACACCTTGGTTCAACCCTCCGCGGGCTTAAACTTCAGGAAGATTATCCAGCTATATGTAACGAAGACATACTACCCGACTTCTATTATCTTCTCCGTGGCGTCTTTCAGAAAGCGGACAGTGTCAACATGTCTTTGCAGCAAGCTGATATATTGTCGTCCTCGTCCTTGTTCCTTGATGCCTTGGATGAAGCATCTCTGGCCTCTTTGTTCAGAGCCAATAGACGGAACGGTATGTCTCGTGGCACTATTAACCAGTGCTCCAGAATTTTGGAACAACTGGAATCGAGACTGACCAGCCACGGTTGTCTTACGAAAAAACATGCCCTCTTTGTTACTGCCCTGGAGAGTTTTCAGAAAACAGTTGTGAAGGATTTGGAGGGCGAGTGATAAGATCAAGTGCCACATTCACTGTGCTTACTTTTCTTTCGTTTTACAATTGCATGAGAGGGGTTTAATTGTGCTCACTATACTGGGTACCATCACTATGATGTCGATGATCTTCCAAATGCCAAGGACGCGCAGAATCATGGCGAAACAAACAAGTGATGTATGTCTGAAGTTGTTGGTCGATCTTAAATCTTACGAACATAGCGTGCTAGGAACACAAATATAACTTCATACAATAACAGTAAATCGTCCCGTGTGCCGATAATTGAGGGAAGTCCAGAATTCAGAGCGAGCATCGAAGTTGGCCAAAAAAAGGGAATGCGCCCTCCTGTCTCTCATAACAAACCTCATAACAAACCCATTTTCTTCCTTGACAAACGCAATTCCTGTTTTATTGAATATTTTGGCCTCCCAAATAGCCGTTAGATCGGTGGAACTGCCATAGAACAAGTTGTCAATTATGTGATTGTTACCCAGCTCGAAGAAGGCGCGTGATAGCAGGTAGAGGCCAGGTTTTTCGTGGGGGCTGACATCAGTTGGTTGTCGATTTGGATAAGGGTATGTAAGGTTACACCGCCCTCCCAATCGGGATACATAACAAAGGGAGCCAAATACTTCTGAATACGCTCGTATTTTAATCCACTGTCGGCAAGCCTGAGCATCCCGAATTCAACGTCACCCTCGAAATCCAGCATAATGTAAGCGCTTGATCCGCTGGTAACTATTCTCAAGCGGTCGGGTCGTCCCCAATGCATGGTTAACGTATGGGCCTCTCGGCCCTTCAGGTCAAACCACTCGAAGTTCACTCCAGTGTCCAGAATCTCAAAGTACAAAAAGCTTCCGATGGTTATTCTGCAGCTTGGGTTGCCGTACGTCCCTGGCAAGAATCGTCGAGTGTAGATAATCTGCCACGAGCCACTTTCCCCTAAATCTATGCAAGCAAGGCATCGCATCGGATACAATGCCACCGTGAGCTTGTGATAGCTGAAGTCTTGCAGTAAGATAAGGCGGTCTTCCTCGTCAGCGGGATGGCTAATCTGCTCTGCAGATGCCACCAAGGTTTCAACAGCCTGGATAGCGATAGCATACTCCTCGGTCCCTCGGTCGTTATTGTAGATACAAATACGTCCAGACCGCAAGTAACAAGTCAGGTTGTCGTAACACCTGAATTGCCCGTCGGTCTCAGAAGCAATCTGCTGGATCGAAAATGGGCCTCCGTTCTCGATAGAGGTATCCAGATTGAGGGCGCGGGTGATCGCACCGATAATGGTCTAATGTCCATCTGAGAACAACTTGAGTTCCTCAGTATCGCGTAAATACTTCTGCAGGCATGCTAGAGATTTAAGCTATTGACAGAATAAAAAGACCCATACCTTAAGAAAGATAGGACCGATGTCCATAAAAGAATGACATGTACTGAAAAAGTTCACAGAATCTCCTATGGAGACGTTCTCTAGGATATGGCACACTACCTCTGTGGGAAGTCTTTCCATTTTGAAGGGATTAGAAGATGGCAGAGATAGAGACCCTTCTCTATAAGGGGGAGCGGCTTATATAGACTTAATCAGAACGCTGGAATGGAAGAAAAACCGTACCTACCAGAGAGGTACATGAAAGGCCAGGTTTCCTTTGCATCCAAGAACTACCGATGAGGCTAGATGGTGCTCCCAAACACGTCAAGTTTCCCATTTCGGATATAGAGGTCATGGCTGCAAGGAGAAAAAATGCACAATGCCACCCGGGGATGTTTATCTGAAGGCACTATGTGTCCACACTCGGATTCTGAGGCACAAAGTCACAGGCAACTAGAACAGATAGGTACGCTCGCTTTCCTTTCCGGATAATTTCCATTCCACTTCAGTAATGCTTGCAGAAAATCCATAAGCTTATGACTCCCACAAAGAACTTCTAGGAGTGGCAGCAAATGCCTCCAGGATAGTCGCCTTCTGATCTCCGAGCATCAGATATGCATCCCTCCGCACCTGGTCTTCTGTTGCCCACGCAAAATCCTGGTGTTTCTCCGCGTTGATCCGTACCGATTCGTCGCATTTCCCTCCCAAAGGTGGCTCATCCGGGAATCTGGAGACCTCTATCTCAGAGACACAAACGATATATGGAAAAGCAACACATTTTGCTTGCTCGGTTCGCATCTGAGCCCTGAGTCCGAGTGCACGGTTGATTCGTAAAAGCCGAAGCCCAGATTTCTCCTGGATCTTACGCTTCAGAGCATCATAGACTGTACTGTCCGTTGGCTCGACAGTACCACCTGGTAAATCCCAGAGCCCGGGATCAGTACCGTGGGAAGCACGCCGCAGAAGCAGAACACGGAGCTCATAAGATATGTTTGCTCCATCAAAGATAACAGCGCTCACTCTAATGGAGAAGGTCTCACCGTGAAGCCTAAATTGGTAGGGTAATCCAGAAACACGAAGACTTGACAAATCCTGTCCGTGGCCGATTGTGAAGGAGCTGATCGTCTGATCTACCCATTTTCTAACATTGTGGGCTGCGGAAACAGGATCGTCTTTGTATCGTAGCAGGTAGCCTTGCAAAGAAGCGGGCGTGAACCATCCCGAAGGAACATTGTCGGCGAATTGAGTTGCTAGATGAACAAGGTTGTCCAGCGTCCATTCATCGGAGGCTGGTAGAGATAACGGCTGGATGCTGCCAGTTGCTTGTCGGACCGCCATGAATTTTTCATCCGTGGGGGCCAAATAGAACATGGAAAACAGCTCTTGAGCCATAATACCGTGGACAGGGCCTATGAACGCTTTCATGTCGACTCGTCCTGCACGCAAGAGGGCAGAGTCCAGACCGCCAATGTTATTGGTAGTCATGATTAGAACACGACCATCCTGCGGAGCCACACCATCAATAATATTCAAGCAGCCGGAGAGAGAGATATTTCCATGTGCTGACTCGGTATTGTATGTCTTAGCATTCTCATTCCCGTCGATCGCTTCCTGGCTTGGCTGAGAAGAGATATCATCACCACGTTTCGGTAAACCGGCCTCATCGATATCCTCGAGAACAATGCAACGCTCAGGAATTTTTTGGAACAATGCGGAGAGGCCGTTGTCGTCAAGGCCAGAGGAGCCTAGAGAGATTGTGTAGATATCCAGGCACAACATACTGGCGATGCCATGACACAACCTTGATTTCCCAGTACCTGGCGGACCGTGCAGGGCAATGCCTAGTCGATAGGGAATGCCACGTTCCTCGTACCATCGCTTGGTTCCGGGTCTGGGAAATTCTGTCACCCCTCTCACAATTCCATTTTAGTTTCCTGATCCAAAACCACCGAGGATAGGGATCGCGGCAGTTTCGTCGCCATCGGCACCCATGACGGAGGCTGGATCAGACCCATATAGACAGTGACATCGTGAGGGTCTCTATTGACTGGAGTTTCCCGGATATCATTGAGGAGGTCATCTAGGACCTGCCGATCCGACCAAGTGTAGAAAGTCAGTCTCTCGGGAACAGCGAACCATGGATTGCCAGATTCCCTGTACAGGTGTCGGCGTAGTCCAACCAAGTGTCCTTTATAGCGAAAATAATGAACAGGATCCTGTGATGGTGTAGACTGGAGTGCTCCGTGATTTCCCGACACTTTTTCTTAAACCAGTATTCTTGTGGGTCGTGCTCAAACAACCGCTCGTCGTCGAGGGTATCGTTGTGTTGATCGTTATTGTTTTCGCCGTCGTCCCACGGGGAGGAAACACTCGCTTTCGTGCTGGCAACAAACTGGTTCGTCTTTCTCAACATTGGATGACGAGATATCCATCGTATCGCGCTTCGATATAATTTGTCATGGCTCGCTATGTCGGCCGACTTCGCACGGCCCAGAGAAAACGATTCCATGCAACTCCAATATGCGGGGAGGACAAAGAAGCAGAAAAGAATAAAGGACACAAAAATGCGCAGGTAGAATGAAGCATGCGCATGGAAAATGAACGGAGTCAAAAAATTAAACCCAGGAATTAGAGCCTCCATCATAGGCAGTATCATAGAGGGTATTACACCAGTGGAATTGAAAGTAGACGCCATTTGACTGCGGAATAGACAATAGTCTGTGTAGATGGTAATTCAAAGGAGGATGGACTATTATTATACTTTTCGGTGTACAAACAAAGGCGAAGGACATGAAACAGGGACAATCCAGCCTGCAGGGCTTAGATACCTGACATCTCTGTGTAATTTGCTTCGATCCTTGTTGCCTGTGAGAGCCCTGGTCTCTATTAATCATAGAAACAAGGCTTTCAGGTCAACTTCATAGGTAACTATACAAGGCCAAGATAGAAAGGGACACGGCCGCTGTCGACCGCTTACATACGAAGCAGGATCGTGTGAGACACATACGTAACTTCAAGCAATTAGTAGATATTTTACCAGTAGTATCAGTACACACCTTGCGCCGTCATTCCTTATGTGGGTGATGTTGGCGTTCCAGGTGGCGTGGATAGAAAATGAAATGGAGTAATGAACATATAAAAAGCAAGCAGATCCACACTACCAGAATCCATATAAATGTAAGAAGTAGTGTAGACATATTTTCCAGCCGCAGTATATTCGTGTTCTGTTTGATAATCTCTCGTGATGGTTCATTGAAGAGCTTCTTCGATGTTATAAAGATATTTCAAGGATACAGGAACATTCTCCAAAAATAATTCTCAGTACGAGGTCGGTACATCCTCCTCGATAGCCATACCCTCTTCATTAAGGACAGTAAGACGGCGTTGTCCTTGGCCCACTTGAAGTGTGTTCCAGGCTTTTCCGGCACGAATGATATAATGCTATCAAGACAACTTGATGTATTCTCGATCGTCTTGACGAAGGTTTCTAGCGTCGATTCGCAACGGACAAAAGACAAGTTGCATATGCTGAAGATCATTTCGAAAGCGAACATAGAACACGAACCCACGAGGGCTCACAAAGTATGAATGATAGCTTATAAAGTGCGAGATTCCAAAGCGAGTCTCTGCGTCGATAACGTTGTGGATTTTGGGGACGGGTCGATCCATTTGCAGCGTATTCTGGTGGCCTGGCTCAGATGTACTCTTAGGTATCGGAGGGCTAGTAGGTTCTTGTTTTTCTTGTTCCGATGAGCCAAAGGGCATCCAGAATGTGAAGAGGTTCAGACAAAACATTGTAGTATGAAATTGCGTCTTGTCTGACTCAAGTCGCGGCGAGCTGTCCGGTTAGATTTGGTATCTTTATAGATCTCTGTGTCATAGGTCATTGAGAAGATGATTACAACAAATTGTCACAGAGGAGGCACTAATAATCCTTAGATAACGCTCAAACCGTCTTGCATGCTTTGCAAGTAGCCTGCATACACACGTATTTTACATAGACCCATCAGGAATGCATGAAGTGCGAGTTACGCTGGTATTCCTCTACACTTCAGAAGACAAGGTATGCGATATATCACTGGCTACCGAGATCCCTCTAGTCTCTTTTTGGCTGATTTGTTCCGCGTGGAACAAAACGGCCGAATTCGGCTTAGTGCTGTTCAAGTGTCAGGCAGGGTGATAGATACATTGATGCGACAGAGAATGTCGTATTTCAACTGGTACCTAGAAAGCTGTTGATATCCTGGCGGATAGATTATTACAGCTATTTTCAAGGAGTATAAATTCACTAAGAGCTATCGCTGGCCTTATCGTTTCCTCTTCCATGCAAAAATTTTGAACACAACCTGAAGCAGACTACATAAAAGCCGTGGATTTGTCTTTCGTGTCTTCCGTTTTAGATGTGTGAGTGGGAGGACAGCTTCTATCAGGACTGCGGTTGCCCTGCTCGCCACAGGTGGCTTAGGCCTGGATCGTGCCCTCGAGGCAATTGCACCGCCGACACAATGGTAAGAGAGTGAGAGATTCTTGGGCTTGAGCGACGTATGTTGAGATGGAGTGCAAGCTGACCGCAACCTGGGACTTCGAAGGGATATTTATACTCGTCATTGCCTACATCCTGTCCGAGGCTGAACCAATATCCATGTCGATTTTGCCTCACTTGAAGCATACCATGGCATCAAAGTACGCCTGACAAGATCACTCGGCTGTTGTACACCAATTGATCAGGGCTGGTATATGCCAGCAGTGCTCCTGGCTAGCCGACAGAGCTGAGCGAAGAATTCTGCCTTGTTCTATAAATGGGGTGCCATTCTCATATCCAACCAGCCAGAGACCAGCAGCCAGGATGCAGATGCGCCGGACACCAATCACTCCTAAAAGCATGTCAAAATGCTCTGCAAGGCATCTAAGAGGGACACAAGGCGTGTCACCCCTCGCAATAGCGTACAGTGGCACGAGCTGATTAACCAAAGGTGTACGCGTACCACCGAGATAGTGGTATAGGAGGCATAAACCCTGGCCTCATTGAGTCTGGCTAAGATCCTTGGCTCCGCATGATGCAACTGTCTGCATCACCAGCATGGCCCATTGGAAAGAAGGTCGATATGCGTTGCCTTATCAGTCTCACTTAACGCCCACTTCAAATATCGAACCCATGTGATTCCCTTTCTTACATCTTTAGACAGACTAGCCGTCATGTGTCCGCCAGTTACCGTTTGCGTGGGTATGTCCGCTTCTTGATTTCCGTACAATGGCGAAAATGAGCCACTCTTGCTAATTTGTCCGTCCGAATGAGTTCGATATTTGACTTGGTGCCGAGTGGCGTAGGTCTGTAGCTCGCTGTCCCTCAAGCGAAGCGTCAGTGAAGCTGACGGTTCATATAATGTTATCGATTAGTGTTATATGATACCGGCCATCTCGATTGAGATCACTGGTCAGAGCGGGGACTATGTGAAAGGTGAAGTAAAGGGATTCAGTTATGTATGACCACCACCTATCAGGAGCTGCTTCCAGACGCTTTATTCGAAAAAGCACGTGCCCTGGTAGGGCATAGCCACAGCTGTAGGATGAATCATGAATGCGAGGACCACGGTTCTAATTCGTGGCCTATAGAGAGGTTAAATCAGGCGGAGACTCCTGGTAGTAGAGAGTCAAGGTAGTTTCTTCCTACTCTTACAGAAATACTTGCAACATCTGAGGCATACTCTCTCAAAATGGGTCTCCTTTCCTAGATCGCCAAGAAAAGTGGGCTCATCGTCGTCCACGTTACGGTCGTCAGGAGCGCCATGGGGATATACATATCATCCAAAGCACTTTTCCTCACTTTGAATATAACTAGGTTGTAAGTCAGATTTCCTGAACTGGTCATGAGTGTTTCTCATTGGTCTTTCTAGAATTATCTCGAAGAACCTGATACTCCAACCGAAACCGCAAGCGAGTTGGATAAAGAAACACAGTGATCGACAATGGCGTGATGGTCAGAGTTGGCAAGTGGGCAAAAGGCATGAGGATGTTGGTCAATCCATAACATGGGCATGTTGAAGTGTAGTTGTCTCTCTGAAGTATACCTTGTGAATGAAATGTAATGTTTCTATCTCAACAATGCGCCCTTATGATGCAGTACGGTATTGTTGTTCCAGACTGGCCTCCTTCCATCAATCAACACCCAAGGGTCTGAAGTGAACAATACCAGTCAGTACCCATCATCACGGAAAGTCTCTATCCATACCTACTTTCCTAACAGGCTTGTTCCAATAAAATCGGACTCAGTAGACGAGGTTTGGTGCCCTTGAATTTGGTAGATGCCCTAGGCCCCAAAAATTATGAAGGAACATTCTGTCTGTAATAACTGGGGATATAAATCAACAGAAAGCATGGCCAATCAGAGAACATTCGACTTCGGGCTAATTATATATTATTCCAGCCCGGACAAAAATGCCTATTGATTGGCACACAATTACCGCAACTGTTTCCCAAATGCCCATTTCTGTGTACCCTCAAAACTCACTTCCGCTCGTGATCGTAGTGTAGGAATAAGAATCAACGTCCTGAGAGTACTAAGCATCACGTATGAGGTTGTTCATTAGCAGGAGGCGCGTTGACATCAGCTTGTACTGCTGTCAGAGCCTGCACTACCTCTAGATGGCCTTCTTCTGCTGCCGCCTGGAGGGCTGTTCGGCCACTATATTTAGCAGGAGGCGCATTAACATCTGCTTGTGCTGCTATTAGAGCCTGTACCA